CTATTTTGGACATTTCATATAAATGGAATCATACAATATGTGGTCTTCTGTGTCTGGCTTCTGTCACTTAGCATCATATTTTTAATGGTCATCCATACTGTAGCATGTTTCAGTACAAGTTTCATTTTGAACATGCTGAATTTGAGGTGCTTTTACGAAATCCATGTGAGGGTATCTAAGAAAATCTTGAAGTCTGGAGAGGAGTCACGGCTAAAGATATCAACAGAGGTGATGGCTGAAATCTTGGGAAGAGGTGAGGGCAATCAAGGCAAGTAGGATAAATAAGAAAAGAGAAAAATGAATATCATACTAGGAAATGCTTACATTGTTTAAGATGCACGGAGGAAGAGAAACCACCAAATAAGATAGAGAAATCACGGAGGTAGGTAGTGAAACTGGAGGATCAAGATCATAAATGCTCAAAGGCAATGATGCCCTTATGCAACACTTCCTTCATACCTTGGCACGTTTCAGTTCAAGGGACATGGCAGGTGTATAAGAGATTCTTGCTGATTCATCGGATCTTGGTTCCTTTTCTATCTTTGTACTCCATGACTTTCAAGGTTTCTTTCAATCTCCAAAGCCAAGAATCCCAGTCTCTAACTTCCTTCCTGTGTGTCTTTATGTCCTCTCCTCTCTTCCCTTTCTATCCATAGGCAGAGCTCTATTAGGCACCTACCTTACAGGCACCTGCTGGAGAATCTATGGTGCTAAGGAACTCCATGCTTTCCTGACCAAATGCACAATTGCTGACAGTTTTTCAGAGGCAATGTTCCCAGAGGTGGCTTCATAAATTCTTTTTTTTTTTCCTTTTTGTCTTTTTTCGTGACCGGCAACGGGATCGCAACCCTTGGTGTCGCGCCCGCACCGCGCTCAACCAGTGAGCGGACCGGTCTCTATATGGGATCCGAACCCTCGGTGGGAGCGCCGCCGCACTCCCAAGTGCCGCACTCTACCAAGTGCGCCACCAGGCCGGCCCCATAAATTCTTATTAGGTTCTTTGTCCTATTCTGGTATATAATTGGACTCTCAAGAATTTCTGAAAGCTTTCTGTGATGAGCAAAGGATATTTAACAGGGGCATTTCTGAATGCTAGTGGTTAAAAGATGAGCCTTATTACAGGTGGAAATAGACATTCCTCCCAACCCTTCATCTTCTAGCCCAAGCACAGAATCCAAGAGAAAGGAAACCCAGTAAAAGGGACTTTGGTGCCAGAATGGGACTAATATGACAAGTGCATGATGAATGAGGAAGAATTTCAGTTCTGTACTTTTCTCCTACTGCTTGGCAATCTTACTACTTTGTAGGTACCTGGGGAGCCAATGCAGTTTTAGAAAAGACACTAACATTCTGGTAAGTGGAAGAAGAGGACATACCAGGAGCACATCTAGAATCCTGCCCACCACTCCCCAAGGCTGTTTTGTGTTGGAGACAGGAAGCACATAGTCTGATGGCACAGTAACCAGACTGTATTACAGATGAGGAACACAAGACCTTCAAGCCAAGAATGGTCAGCCCAGGCATTTCAATATGAGGAGTCCAGACAAGATCATTCTAACTCTTCCTGATGGACTTTGAGGCATATGGGAATAAATAGGTACATATCTAATCTCGGGCTCAAGAAGGTTCCAGGGCACCTCGATTAACTAATTAATCATGCATCCTTAATTAATCTAGGTGATAGTCTAATAACTTCAAAAAATTAACTCCCTAGCAAAAATCCAAAAGCAGAGTAGAGATGCTACACAGACTAGTGTTTCTCTCTAGTGCAGGACCTTCAAAATTCCCTCTGATGCTAAAGCTTGGGAGGAAAAATGATGTAAATGGTACCTCACACCCAATACCCCACTTGAGAAAAAGTGTCCCTAATTTAAGGGAAAGGGGAGGAAACACTGGAAGAAACCAAAGTCTCCAGGCCTTCATCTCTTTTTGTTAGGGTATGAAGGTTGAGATAATGGACTAATAGGTCCAAGCCATCAGTTTATATACATGGAATGAGGTTTCAGAGTAGCACAACACTACTGGGATGGCTTAAAGGCCAAGTTCACCTGAACTATCTTCGTTTGGACCTAGGCAGAAACAGAGCAGCTGCAATGTCTCCTTCCTTTCCCTAAAGGTTAGGAGAGTAGAACCAACTGTTAAGTAGGGTGCTCATAGTAGCGCACCTGATTTGTTGCTGCACTCATAGAGTTGGGCTTTGTTCAAACACAACTCTATAAAAAGCCTGGCTATGGCTTGTTTGTAGGCACTCACAGTAGCCAGATTGGAAAAGTCCAGTTCAAAGTAGCTACAATACAAAGACATATGAAGTATCATCCAGAAGGGGAGGCCTAAGAAAAAGAGTATTCAACACCAGTTTTTAAAAATCCAGTGTGTTGGGACCACTTCTAAAGCATTCAGAAGACAGCGAAAGGCAACAGGAAGGCAGAGCTGTGACCCGCACTGGACTCTAACCACAACTGCTACATTTTAGATGATATAAAAAAAGCAGGCCTAAAGATTAGAGACCCATAACAGGTTGTAGCTCCTTCTAGGACTTAACTCTTACATCCTGTGATGAAGGCCTGATGTCTCCTTTCTATTTGCTATGAAGCGGGGCTGGTGGGCAATGTACTCTGGAAGAACAGGTGATCAGCAGGAACTGGGCAAACAGAGGCAAACAAAAAAATGATAAAATGGAGTGAGTTCAATGAGTATATATAAACTGTAGGCTGAAGCAGACAGTTAGGTAAGCACTCAGGAGCCCCAAATCACCTAAAAGATAAGAGGTAAAAATGGAGTTAAATAAAGCTAAAAGTCAAAGTTCAGCACAGAGCTAACAGAAGAGAAACAGACACCATGTACCAGAAACCCATCCTTGCCATTAGACCTGCCTCAGCCTTTCTCCTCAAGGGGAAATCAATGACTAACTTCCCTCAGAACAGTTAGGCTGCCACCTGTGACTGGGAACAAATGTCTAGAAGATCCGCTGCAAAGAAACTTGCTACACAAGGCAGGAAGAGAAGCAGCATCTCTATCCAAGCCCTAGCACAGCCTGACAGTAGGGAGGTGTACAAGAGGGTAAAATGATTCCAATTATGCCTGTGTTTTTAAAAAAGAGATGGCTTTCCTAAAACCATGAGTGATAATATACACAGTGAAATTAGAAATCTCTTCTAAGGTATTCAGTTAAAATTGGGGGGTGGGAGAGGTTACATAAGATACTCTAACTCTAAAACCTAAAAAATAATCAGTTGTCAAATTCATTCTACTGGTCCATCTTTTGAAAAATATTGTTTTACTAATAAACTCATTTAGCAAGCTCGGGGTAAAGGCTTCATAAGCATGAGTATTTAAGGAAACATTTATGATTATAAAATTATAAAACCATAGTTGGGCTATTTGATAGCAACACTAGAGAGACATACATTCCTCAGAAGAAAGTATTAGCCTAACATTATGAACAAAAATGAGTCCAAAAATTGACAAATATGCATTGCTTAACTGATACAATGCTATTGTTCTCATTTAAAATATAATTATTATGTAGATGTTAATTTTATATCATATTTATGCTGCATTTTCAAATAACATGGCTAATTTAAATAAAATCAATCCACAACTGAAAGAGTATGCAATTCAAATGATCAAGTAAAGAAACTTTTTATTAACATTAAGAGTCAGCATAACTGATTCAACCTCAGTGTACATCAATGGATCAAGAAAATGTGGTATATATACACAAAGGAATACCAATCAGCCATAAAAGAGAAGGAAATCCTGTCATTTGTTTTTTTTTTGTCTTTTTCCATGTCCGGGAATGGATCGCAACCCTCAGCGTCGCCCCCATTCCGGACCAGGACCGGCAACGGGATCGCAACCCTCGGTGTTGCCCCCGCGCCTCGCTCAGCCAGTGAGCGGGAACCGGTCTGTATGTGGGATCCGAACCCTCGGCGGGAGCGCCTCCGCGCTTCCCAAGCGGCGCACTGTAGCAGTGCGCCACCGGGCCGGCCCGAAATCCTGTCATTTGTAACATGAACGAACCTAGAGGACATTATGTTAAGTGAAATAAGCTAGGCACAGAAAGCCAAATACCACATAATCTCATCTATATGTAGAATCTAAATGAGTTGAATTCATAAAAGCAGAGAGTAGAATGGTGGTTACCAGAGGCTAAGGGGATGGAGAGATGTTGGTCACAGGACTTAAAATTTTAGTTAGATGGGAGAAATAAGCTCAAGAGATCTATTGTACATCATGGTGACTATAGTTAATAACAATATATTGTATACTTGAAAATGGTTAAGAGAAGAGATTTTAAGTGCTCTCACCACAAAAAAAGATAAGCATGTGAGGTAATATATATGTTAGTGATTTAGCCATTCCACAATGTATACATACATCAAAACATCATGTTGTACACCATAACTACATATAATTTTTACTTGTCAGTTAAAAACATAAATTTTAAAAAAGAGCATATAGTGGTAATGATTCACAGCATTGTGAATGTAATTAATGTCACTGAATTGTATACTTTAAAATGGTTAAAATGGCAAGTTTTATTTTATAAATATTTTACCGCAACAAAAAAAATATGAATGGGGGGAAAAAGAAGAATTAGTGTATTTTGCCTTTTTTATATAGTCAGTTTAATATTTTTTTGGCACTCAGATAATTCACATTGTATAAGACTAAAATATATCAGGTAAAAGTCTTTACCTGAATTTCCATTTCAAAGATTAACCATACAACAGAAATTCTAAAGTAAAAAGTTCAAACAGCAGGCATATTCAAAATATTTGAGGTATAAAAAGTAAAAGCATTTTAAGGTTAGTCTCACAACTCTGTTATCATTACACCTTGAAATTTTTACTCAACTGTGATGCAAAATAAGAATATTTTTAAAATCTAGGTTCTTAAATCAAAACTAAATGAAAAACCCAATTTATCTAATGAACATGGATAATTTAGAATTCAAAAGTCATTCAACATTTTTAAATGATCATAATCCAACTAACCTTTTTTTTCCTCAGTAATCTTTCTCTGAATTTATTAGTGATAAATCCCCTTGGACCAGCAAACCGTAAACGCTGGTATTTAGCCTGAATGTACAAGCTCTTCTGTACTAGGCCTGACTTATAATGGGGCTGGAATCTGCCACCTCTAAAGTTGCCCTGTAAAGGAAAAAAGAGAATTAAATGTTACAAAAACAGCTTCCAAATCTACTTTATTAGTATAACATATGGAAAAATGAGCTGCCCTTGATTCTGAGCACTATAGATACTAAAAGGGAAGAGATTTACAATGGTAATAAGGTATATTTCCCTAAAACTAGTTTCTTAGCTTATTTTATATACTAATAATTTTTTTTCCTTTTTGTCTTTTTTCGTGACCGGTAACGGGATCGCAACCCTCGGTGTCGCGCCCGCACCGTGCTCAACCAGTGAGTGGACCGGTCTCTATATGGGATCCGAACCCTTGGCTGGAGCGCCACTGCACTCCCAAGCGCCGCACTCTACCAAGTGCACCACCGGGCCGGCCCATATACTAATAATTTTTAAAAAATCTTTATTTTACATAAAACCAATTTTAAAAACTGTTAAAAGAATTTGAAATTAATTCTTGAAATTCATCATACTAAAAAATAAAATTTTCAGGGCTGGCCCGGTGGCGCACTGGAGAGTGCGCCGCTTGGGAGCGCCGCCGCGCTCCTGCCGAGGGTTCAGATCCCATGTGGAGACCGGTTCCTGCTCACTGGCAGAGCGCGGGGCGGGCGCAACACCGAGGGTTGTGATACCGTTGCCGGTCCCCGGTACGGGCGCGACACCGAGGGTTGCGATCCCGTTACCGGTCAGTAAAAAAATACAAAAAAAAAAAAAAAAGGAAAAAAAAAATTAAAAATAAAAATTTCAAAACCTCTAATGAGCTAAAATTATTCTTCTGATTCATAGTGAAATATATCAAATCTCAATGAGGGGAAAAGACAGTAAGTATCAATATTTATTTAAAAATCAAAAACTCTTTTAACTTTATTCCTGTCGATACCTTCAAACCAACATCTTTCTTTACCACAAAAACCCATTATGGCAGATATGAGTTACACGAGGGTACTTCAAAATGTTCATGGAAAGATTCACGTTATCTTTCAATTCTATTTTTCTACGAACTGTTTGAAGTACCCTCGTACTTAAAAAGATCATTTCCTAGCCTGCATACTGTCCAGTATTACAATAAACATAAGAGGACAACGAATATTTGTGTGTTTCCCACGCGATTGATAAGATAAACAGTCCCCTGTTAATTTACGGCTGGGGGCAGGAGAAGAAAGGAGTCTTCAGTTTTGTCAGTCATGAACCAATCCTCTCCAAACTTTCCCAAACAATTCTCCAAACCTCCCTTCCTCACCCCCCGCCTCCACCAATATTACACACTTCTCATGCCCACCTGCATTTCCAAGCATCCTCCTAGCATAATCTGAAACAAAAGGGAGAAGTGGTCCAAAGGCTCATAGATGGATTCTATTTTTGCCTTCCTGTCTTAATACCTTGGCTACTTGCTAACTCACTGGAAGAAGCTCCTGACTACAAAAGGGATTTCTCCCCCAAATCATTCAATTAAATTTTCCTGTAGGAAATAAATGTGATATTGTACACAGGTGATGGTAGTCAACACTGGACCCCCAAAATATGTATAATTATTTATGCTGCAATAAAAAAAAGAAAGAATACAAATGTGAAACCGTGTGAAGAAAAACCCTAGACAAAACTAAATTTTAAACAAGACAAGTTCAGCATAAATTGAATACTGGGAGATCTAATTCCAAGAAGCTGGGAGAAGATGTAGTAGAAAAGGAAAGGCTTTGGTGATCCATCAGGATTTCTTATGTATAGTTAACCATAAAACTGTTCTGAACTTATTAAAAAAAAATCCATACACCTAATACTATGTGCGAGGTACAAAGACTAAACAGACCCACCCCTTCTCCTTCAGGGGCTGACAATTTATTAGAGACGCCAGTTTGAGCACCTGACAGGAAGCTAGTCCTTCTGATTTTGCCAACAGGAGTTTCCTCCAAGAACCAAGAAAAGGGCTCTCCAAGCTTGAAGAGCATAAAATAGCATTTAACTTTAATGGCACAAGCAAGAAGTCTCATTTTTCCATCTCTCCTTACCACTCAAGAGTTAAAGACTCGAGCAGTGTTCATTTGTTGGAAAGAGGCAAGTGTCAGAATAAAAATTGCAAATTCTAGGAGGCAAGATGGCGACGGGTCTGGAGCGGCCGTGCCAGGAGACAGCGTGATCCTGAGAG